GAGAAGGAGGAGGAGGTGGTGATGGGAAGGACGAGGTGAGGGGTAGGAGGAGGTGGAGGTGGAGGTGGAGGAGGGGTAGGAAGAGGAAAGTGGAGGAGGAGGGTGGAGGTGAGGGAAGGTGGAGGTGGTGGTGGAGGTGGAGGTGGAGTAGGAGGAAGAGGAAAGAGGAAGTGGTGAGGAAGAGGAAGGGTGAAGGAGAGGAAGAGGAGAAAAAGGGGAGGAAGAAGAGGAGGAGGAAGAGGTAGAGGGGAGGAAGAGAGAGGGGAAGAGGAGGAGGAGTGAGAAGAGGAGGAGAGGAAGAGGAAGAACAAGAAGGAAAAGTGGAAAGAAGAAGGAGGAGAAGGAGGAGGAGGAGGAGGAGCGTGAAAAGAGCTTAAGGGAACAGATGTTTCATTACCTCAAGATTACGGGGATGAAGAAGGAGGAAAATAAGCGTTGCGAAGGAGTTGGAGAAAGAAGATGGAGGAAAAGTTTGGAGAAGGGTGAAAAGAGGAGGAGCAGAAGGAAGAGGAGATGGGGAAGGAGGAGGAAAAGTTTGGAGAAGGGTGAAAAGAGGTGGAGCAGAAGGAAAAGGAGATGGGGAAGGAAGAGGAAGAGGAGGAAGAAGGAGGAAGATGAAGATGATGAGGAGACGGAGAGGAGGATGGAGAAGAAGAGGAGAAGAGGAAAGGGATTTGGAGGAGGAGGAAGAGGAGAAGAAAAGGGGAAGAGAAGGAGGAAGAGAGGGAGGAAAAGGAGGACGAGGAGATGAAGGAAGAGGAGAAGGAGAAGGAGGAGGAGGAGGAAGTGGTGGAATAGGAGGGGCAAAGACAGGAGAAAAGGAGGAGAAGAGGAAGAGGAGGAAGAATGAGAGGAGGAGGAGGAGGAGGTGGACGGGGGAAGAGAGAGCAAAATAGTAGGAGGAAGAGGAGGAGGAAGAAGAAGAAGAAAAGGAGGAGGAGGAGGAAGAAGAAGATTAAAGGAGAAGGAGGAGGAGGAATAATAATAAGTGAAGGAGGAGGAAGAAGAAGAATAGGAAGATGAAGAGGAGAAAGGGATAGATTTAGGAGATGAAAAGTAAGAGAAGTAAAGAAGGAAAAAAAGAGAAAAAAGAAGAAAATAAATAGTACGAACGGGGAAAGCTATAAGCATGAAGCAATAATAGGAGAAGAAAAAATAAATAAGCGAAACAGAGAATAAAGGAAGAAAAAAGAGAATAAAGGTCCAGGACGCCAAAAGGAGGATGGATGATGAAGAAATAAAAGGAATTCATAGCCAAGCTTAGCAACCCCCGTTCCCGCTGGAGATGTTGCACGTTATTTGTCTTTGTGTACGTTCATGTGTTACGAGCCAAGAGCCTACGACACACACACACACCACACACGCACGCACGCACGCACACAACAACACACACACACCACCACGCACACACACCACACACACACACACACACACACACACACACACGCGCGCGCACACACACACACACACACACACACAACACACACGCACGCACGCACACACACACCACACACACACACACACACACACACACGCACGCACGCACACACACACACACACACACACACACACACACACACACACACACCACACATCACACACATACACACACACACACCACACACACCACACACACACACACACACACACACACACACACACACATATATATATATATATTATATATATATATATATATATATATATAGTATATATATATATATATATATATATATAAAGACACACATGTGTTTGTCTGCACTGGGAATAGAATAAGACACGAATGTTGAACTTCTTTGTATAACCAAAGCTATTTGCCAACGAAAACAAATACACTTGTCAACAACAAAATTACCTCCAGTACTGAATACTCGAATACAACAGCAAACAATGAATAAGACATGGAGTAGAAAGAAAAATGGGGGAAAGAATGAGAGTAAATAGGCGGAAAAATAAGCGCAGTATACATAAAGAGATGCCTTGTGGGGGCGTCACCGTTCTCACTGAGCTGAAAATGTGTATTCCAATGACAAAGAGAATATTACATATGAGAGCACTGGTGTATATAATTGTATGTTTATGAATTCTGTTACTGAATGGATGATAGAGCTTCTCCGTGTACCATGCAAATTGAAGGCAAGATTTACCTAAAAGCACTGAAAGCAGAAATGAATGAGAGATCAAGTTTCCCCCTTTGTTTATCAACATCATTGTAACTGGTTATCAAGTTTTAAATGGAAATCGTGGCTGCGAAGCGAACTTTTGAGAGTGCTTAGTTAATTCGATAATTAATGGATATGATGAAATGTGATTTCCTGTTTCGGAAAAGATATAGCAGTATATAGTGACAGATCGGAAGAGCACACGTCTAGCTAGTGTTTTTTCTGTAGATTATGGAACCATTTTATTTGCAGTATCACCAATCAACAAGTTTAAAAGCTTGGTTGATTCGACACTCAATGAAAATAATAAAATCTGATGTCTTTTTTTCGGTAAAAAACATAATACATAGTTACCAACTTATCAAATGGTATATAACAGCACCGGGAACCATTAACAACTTCCAACAACTTATTCCATCCTAGAATCATCAACTTGTCATCAAAACAAGTAATCAGGGAACTTACCGAATCGTATATAACAACACCAGGAACCATTAGCAACAACTCCAACAACTTATTCCATCCTAAAATCACCAACTTACCACCAACACAAAAATCAGGGGCCTTATCGAATCGTATATAACAACACCAGGAACCATTAGCAACAACTCCAACAACTTATTCCATCCTAAAATGACCAACTTACCATCAAAACAAGTGATCAGGGGACTTATCGAATCGTATATAACAACACCAGGAACCATTAGCAACAACTCTAACAACTTATTCCATCCTAAAATCACCAACTTACCATCAAAACAAGTAATCAGGGAACTTATCGAATCGTATATAACAACACCAGGAACCATTAGCAACAACTCCAACAACTTATTCCATCCTAAAATCACCAACTTACCATCAAAACAAGTAATCAGGGGACTTATTTGATCGTATATAACAACACCGGGAACCATTAGCAACTTCCAACAACTTATTCCATCCTAAAATCACCAACTTACCATCAAAACAAGTAATCAGGGAACTTATCGAATCGTATATAACAACACCAGGAACCATTAGCAACCTCCAACAACTTATTCCATCCTAAAATCACCAACTTACCAACACGAGTAATCAGGGAACCCACAGACATTATCGACGATGGCAGAACGACAACAAAGACAGCAGAGTCGAGTGGATTATGTTAATGCCGAAGACAGTGCAGGTTCTTATGCAAATCCCAATGGCCGATGTTAATGCAGGATCGGAGCTTAGCAACGTGCAGCATCAGACCAGCAAACACTTAGTCCCCATTAGACCGTGGCTGTCCCGAGAGAGCGTGTGGCTGTGAAGGTGGCTTTATTACGTGGGGAAATTTGGTCGATTTTGACTGCTGGCTGTCTGTTCTGTTGCCCTCTCGCACTCTTTTTTTTTCCTTTTTGGTGAATGGTTTGTCCCATTTTTTTTTCGAGTTCTTTTCTTTCTATCTCTCTGTTTCTCTTTCTTTTTGTCAGTCTGTCAATCTACTTGTCTGTTTGTCCGTCAGTCTGTCTCTCTCTGTCTCAATTTATCTGTTGTTTTCTCTTTTCTTCCCTTTAGCTCTCTTTCTCCTTCCTTTGTCTCCTCCATTCTCCTCTTTCGTCCTCCTTTTGTTTTTCCTCTTTCCCCTTCTTCTCTATCGTTCTCTCCCCTTCCTCCATTTCTCTCTACCTTTCCTTTCTCTCTCCCTTTTCATCTCTGTTATCACTTTCCCTTACCTGTGGTTAAGCCAGCGCTTTGATACTACGAAATAATTTTAGGCTCTCGTTTCAATAAGCCTCTTTGTGGTTCCTATCTTTGTTTTATCTTCATTTTCTCTGTCTCATCTCTTTTAATTTGCTTATCTGTATATGCATCGAATTCGTACATTTATTTGTTTATTGTATCTACTGAACTAACTTTCTGATTATCGTTTTGTCTTGTTATTTTTTTCTTTTTTTGCATTCGTTTCTTTTCTTGTCGATCATTATTCTATATCTTGTTGTTTTGGATATTTGATTTTTTTTTTTCGTTCAGTCATAACTTTGTTCTCTACTTTCCTTCCTACCTTCCTTTCTTCTCTTCTCTCTCTCTCTCTCTCTCCTCTCTCTCTCTCTCTCTCTCTCTCTCTCTCTCTCTCTCTCTCTCTCTCTCTCTCTCTCTCTCTCTCTCTCTCTCTCTCTTTCTCTCTCTCTCTCTCTCTCTTCTCTCCTCTTCTCTCTCTCTTTCCCTCCCTCTCTCTCTTCTCCTTTCTTTTCTCTTCCCTCCCCTCTCATCCTCCCCCTCTCCCTCTCCCTCTCCCACTCTTATCAAACATAAATAATTCCCACATACCCAATAACATCTCCCTTATCATATTCACAAAAGCAAAGGCATTTCCCCCCCTCCTCCCCCCGCCCCCGCCCCCCCCCCTTCGCAATTCCATCATAGAGAGAGCCATTAACAATTTAAAGAACAGAATCCGGCCATCGGCAACGCGCTACGGCCGGTGTTCTGGCGGAAAAATCGCTTTAAACAAATTTCGTTTTAAAAGAGCCATTATCGGCGGCGGTACGGGCGGGCCATTTTTTCTTTTTTTTTTTCCAAGGTTTTTTCTTTTTTGATTTTTTTTTTTTCTCTTCTGTGTCTTTCTCTCCGTTAAAGAATATAAAGATAAATGTATATATATATATACATATACACATATCTATCTATCTATCATATCTATCTATCTGTATCTATCTATCTATCTATCTATCA